GATTAATTGATTGATTGATGAATTGATTGTCAGCCAGTTCACTGCGGGGTTAAACACATTTGTTGTTGCACAATAATTTCCCTTATATGCGATGCAAGGTTATGTGGTGTAACAACACTATACGAGAACAAACTTAAAAGTCCGTTGGATAGACCCGAGCACAAACAATAACTTACAAAAAAAAGTAAAATAATAAAAATACCGAACTCCAAGGAAAATTCAAATCGGAAAGTCCCTTATCAAATGACAAAATCATAAGTTCAAACACACCAAACGAATGGAAAACAACTGTCATATTCCTGACATGGTACAGGAATTTTCTAAAGTAGAAAATGGTGGATTTAACCTGGTTTTATAGCTAGCTAAACCTCTTACTTTTATGACAGTCGCATAAAATTCCATTATATTGACAACAATGTGTAAACACAACAAACAGACATCATAGGTCAAAATGTCAAAAAAGAGGCACAGTAGTCAACATTGTGTTGTAATCTTAATCACAATAAGAACAAACGAAATGGCATATAGACAAAGCACATAAGCAAAAATGTAAGACAAGAACACAAAAAATGACCACAGCACAACACCACATTGGGGGATGCATCAGTACCGAGACACGCCAAAAGGATATTACCAAAAATGGACTAAACAGTTAATAATTTACAATGACAATAAAGAACACCATAACATTCATCAACTTTCTGCTCAAACACTGGTGAGGTTTTATAAAGTCTGAGTAGCAGCTGCAAGCTCTTGAATACCGAACTATCTTCTTGTTTTTGACAAGTGTATGAAGGAACTCCGACTCGTATGAAAATTAGAAGAGGTCGCGATCGGCAAGGCGAGGCGCACAGTTCGTTCCCATAGGAATACCGACCATTTGTTGAAAAAGTCTACCTCAAAATTCAACAAATATATTGTCTATAAGAAACTCCAGAATACTGATCACTTGTTCCTCTGCGTAGCATGTCTTACATTTTTGTTCACTATTTACAAAATATGCCGTATGGTATCTCAAAGAAATAAATGTAAAGCGTAAGCTACAATTTTGATATTGAAAAGCATTGTGGATAATTTCTTTTAGACGATTTTTCAATTTTACATGGTGAATGGCGATACACAGGGTTGAAAAATCAAAAGTGTTGATTTCAGAGAAAGATCGAGATTTAAAATTATCCAGAAGTTCTTATCCAAAAATAATTATCTAAAACAACACAAAGTATCAATCTAAGATTACTCGCAGTTACTGATAGCTAGTTCAAAGCCAATTTCAACTGATAAATATACAATGTCTTCCCAGACTAATATACTAAACAGTATACATCAAACGTACTTAATGTAAAGACGTCATTAGGTCCAAGGACACAGTTATCGTCCTTTGGTTTTCGAATATAGTCCCTAGTGTGAACAGTGTATAACTTGCATTCATTTTTATACACTTTCCCAATGTATTTCTTGATATTTAATGCATGAAATATTAAATAAGGGGATGAAATTACATGTTTAAAAAATTTGGGTGCTGAATCTTTATGTTAAGTAGTGATTTGGTCCAGTTAAAACAGGTCAAAAGTTAGTACGCCTGAAGCTGTCAAACTGAATTTTAGACCCCCTTAACAGAATTGTCAATATTTTGAGTTAGAGCTGGTAGAAGTTTCTATAATTTTGATATTATTTGTCCCAATAGTAGTACACTACACTGTAAAAATATTTTTTGAGATAGAGCAGGTGTGATTTTTTTAATTTGAATTTATTGTCTAAAAGAAATCCACTACAAAATAACTGTGTTCTCGGGCCATTAACATGATATCTTGCAATGCAAAATATAAATGTGAAGGACCATAAGTGGTCGTATTTGTATATCAATAACGCATATAAACGATGCAGCTGGTTATTAGAGGGAAAACGTTTTTACCTGGAGAATAATTCAGTCGTCATCCTCTTTCGGCATGTTCGGTCTAGTCGTTCCGTCGACAGCAAATGGTGATGGCTCGCAGCAAGATGGATCAACACAAAATTCTCGAGTCCTTACGCAGTCACATATCTTCTTGTAGTAAGTGCACAACGGGTCATATACTCCATCTACAAGACGATTTATTACTTGTGGTCTGACTGTTGAAAAAAATTATTCAAATTGTCATTATCTAATACTTACACAATTTCTAGAGTTGTGAGATAATCAAAATCAAGAATCCATTTATCATTGCTGATCCGTGCAACTGTCAACATATTTAACATTTTTTTTTCAAGACATTTGCTACATACACATTCAATATACCTATGCAGTCAGTATTCTTATTCGTCAAAATTTAGTATATTTCATGAATAAAAAAATTAATATGCATAAATTGAAAAATGAGTGAACAAAATTGAATAAAATACAAGTCAGAATAACACCTCCAGTTTTACCATTGGTAGTAGCACGAACATTTATTCAAACATACCTACTCTGTTAATACTGACTCATTATAACGGTATTTCATTGAAACCATGTATTTCATGTTTTCGTACTGTGAATTTTTAATGTTATTATATCAACAGGAACCTTAATATATGAAATTAATTGAATCTGACGCGAGATGATATATTAAATATGTTTGCTTTACAAGTTTCGAGGACAAAACAGTCAACTCAAACACGACTGAACGTAAAAATGTGAACCTTTTGATCTCTTTTCGATCAGATTATTGCCCATTTTTATGATTTTTTCCCAAAAAATTATTGCCGTGGGCAAAGATGAAAATTAGTCCTAAAAATTCAAGCTTTTATCTTTCTGTGGATTTGTTTCAGGTGAATTCGTCCTTATGCATATTAAAGATCAAGATATATTTGCATACCGTAATTGACTGTTTTGTACACATTTCTCTTTAATTTAAACTTTACAAATATTTCTAGGCTACATACTATTATTTGAGTAAAAACAGGTGTATAATATGCAAAATTGATCCTAAATTATACACCTATTTTAAACTTTTAAAGACCATAAAAATTCATGTAAACAATTCAAATATATCAACTTGGCTTCTCTAAAACGAGTTCAATTTCGTATGTTTAATTTCAATTGGAAATCAGCCTGTATATGTATAAACTCTATTAAATTTGTGATACTGTTATGACGTTGCGTTAATAATGATATCTTTTTTCTGCATTCTTGCGAAAAGGAAACCATGAATTGTGCAAAATTGATCCTAAATTATACACCTATTTTAAACTTTTAAAGGCCATTAAAACTCATGTAAACAATTCAAATATATCAACTTGGCTTCTCTAAAACGAGTTCAATTTCGTATGTTTAATTTCAATTGGAAATCAGCCTGTATATGTATAAACTCTATTAAATTTGTGATACTGTTATGACGTTGCGTTAATAATGGTATCTTTTTTCTGCATTCTTGCGAAAAGGAAACCATGAATTGTTCATGTAAGTGAACTGAATAGAATTATATGGGATGTTTCTCTTGATGCTGTAGCTACTGCTCAAACTGTTCAATACATCTTGTTGAATTATGCAGATACTAATGTTATTCAATAACATATGTCAATTAGTTTTACAAACTGCAACGTATCTTTAAAAATGCACTACGAACGAAAGTACTGGCAAAATATATGCAATATTTACATACTTACATTTAACTTGTTTGCGCTTTAAAGCATACTCCTGTGAAATATTGCAATAAATTCCGAGGATAAATAGAATTAAAACTTGTCTTGGTGACATCGTTAATCCAAAGAGAAGACCTTACAAACAGTTAGTTGTCTTTTGCTGCTAAAGCAATATGCAGCAAAACTACAATACTTGATTTTCTAGCTATTACTTTGCATGCACATCCACGTCCTGGGACCTTTTCGTCTATAGCATACATTTTGTAAATTTGGTAGCTGGGTGCCTTTTCATAAGACAGTAATAGACTCATAAACATGTTAAATGTCAAGTTGTAGAAATTTTAGGCTAATTAGTTACATGTATAACTGACTTAATTATTTCATGCTTTTAACAGTTTAAATTTTTTTCACTTCAGACCACCCTCATTGGAACGATAACGTCATGACTTTAAGTGTCGAGATATGAATATTTCTGCTAGCAGTGAATATACTTATCTTGGCCTTGTTTTGAATTATTTCTTGACTTAAGTACTACTACATAAGCAGTGTTAAGTCGTTGTTTTTGAAATATAATTAATTGAAAATTGAAATGATTCTTTCTACACTTTTCTTAAATTTAACATTTATTTTTTAGTACTTTTTTATTCTTTTAAAACTATGAAAAAGTAACAAGGATTTATTAATATTTCAAAAAATGCTTTTTTAAACTATATGTAATAAATTTATGAAAAGAAAAGTAGAGATTAGCAGGCAAAATTATTAGTGGCACGAAACTAGAGGATTCCGAATATCTAACAAAAAGTCAAAAACAAGAACATCCTTAAAGTCAAATCGATTGTTTGTCATCATCTTCAGTTCTCGGTCGATTCTGTTTGTTAGATTATGTAGATCAAAGTCATGATATCAAGCAGATTAAACGTTGTTGTGTAATCCTTTGAATGGTATTGAATGGCTTGGATCTCATAAAAAATGCTTCCAAACTTTAAATGAGAATATCTCATCTATACAGCTGAAGTGGATTTAACTGATTATGAACATTTCTTGTCATGAGACGAAAGAAGGGTGGAAGGATATTTTTAGGACTTCGGGATTAGGCCTTTTCATGTGAAAATACGGGATTTACAATTATCGGGACTCGGGTATTAAGAAATGATATTTCGGGATCCGGGAGAGAATATTTTATATTTTCAGGGGTTTGGGATTCAGCGTTCATTTTCCCGGGAATTCGGGATGACATGTCCTTCTACCTCTTTTCAGGAAAATTCCTAATAAAGAGTATGCATCATTCATCAGTTGCAGTACACTTGATAAGGCGGATATTGTGAAAAACTTGTCATAACATTGAAATCCAATTGATAAATCAATTAAAAGGGTATTATTTAAAAAAAAAAAAGAAAAACTGCACTATTCCCTTTTATACAGTTATTACATTTCATCATGACTATAATAATTGCTGGTTCATTAACGTATATATAGTGAGTGTATTGTATATGTTCACTGAATAAACAGGCGGTTGTGGTATGCAAATCCACTATTTAAAGCAGGCGATTGTAGAATGAATGTCCACTACATATAGCAGTCGGTTGTAGCATAAATGTCCACTACAAAAAGCAGGTAGTTGAAGTATGTATGTCCAAGTTTTCTGGAAAAAATAATAACCTGTTAATAGAAAAAATTAAATGAAAAAAAAAATTTATAACAAATATACCTGTGTTTGATTGATTGATTGATTGATTGATTGATTGATTGATTGATTGATTGATTGATTGATTGATTGATTGATTGTCACCCAGGTCACTGAGGTTTTAAACATATTTGTTGGTGCAAAACACTCTCCATAAAATCCGACAGTGTACGTAGTATAACAGCATAATATAACAGCAAACTTTGAAATCCGTTGGATAGAGCTTGAATAATCAGATCGACACGAACCACAAAAAAAAGTATCGATTTAAGTTTACTCGCAATTAATGAAAGCTTGTTCAAAGCCAATCTCAATAAATAAATATATCATGTTTTCCCAGACTTATATCTTTAACTGTATACATCAAACGGATTGTATATATGTAAAGACGTCATAAATAATGACAATACAAAATATAGGTATGTTGGACCGCAAGTGTTTGTAGTTGTATATCAAGTTATGTAATAATTTATTTAAGTTAAAATCAGTGTTAGTACCAATAACGATTATATATTCAAATATCACAATACTACAACGTTAATTTTACGACGTTTATGAATATGTTAGTTCAAAGGCTCAATTAGTTTACATAGATTGTTTCTAAATTAATGGGCAATATAAACAATGTATTACCGTAAAAATTAGGATGTGATATCCCGTTTGTAATCAGAAAGGAAAACAAAGGATACGGCAAGGCTCTTTATTGTTTTTGGTTTCAGAGACAGAAATCTTTGCATAGTCTTAATATTCTTTTAGGATGTTAAATCCTTTTCACAAAATTATCTCAGGTGAAATTAATTGATTCAGATGTACAAAAAGGTATTTCCAATGTCGATTTCTATCAATATCGATGACATTAGGAGAACATTTATGTTTGATATACATGTATATATACATAAGTTGATAATGATTGCCATAGAGACAACTTTTAAGCAGAGACCAAAAGACATAGATGCAGTCATCTAAAGGTCAACATGCCATTGGTTGATAAAAAGAAACATTACAACAAGAAATATGATTTCAGCTTCTCAATTGTGAACTTTCCATTTCGGCAGCGCCTGCATATGGAGTAAATATCTCCCAGTTGATACGATATTCCAGAGCTTACATTTCTAACATGAATGCCTTGAAGGAGGATTGTTGCTTCCAAAGAAAGTAATGAACTGCTTTGTATCGATCTGATGAGTTAAGCCTTTTTCATCTGATTTTTATAGTTTGTTTTTATGTTGTGCTGTTACACTATCGTCTCAGGTTAGGGGATGGTTGAGCGCCCACAAACATGTTGAACCCCGCCATATTCTTAATGTGCCTGTCCCAAGTCAGGAGCCTGTAGTTAAGTAGTTGTCGTTGGTTCATGTCGTAATGTTGTTTTTCGTAAATTGTTTTGTTTTAAATTAGGCCGTTAGTTTTTCTCAATTGAATTGTTTCATAATTGTCATGTTAGGGCCTTTTATTGCCGACTATATGGTATGGGTTTTTCTTGTTGTTGAAGGTCGTACGGTTGCCTACAATAGCTTATATCCACTTCATTTGAACTTTAGTGGATAGTTGTCTCCTTGACAATCATACTACATCTCCTTATTTTTATAGGAGTTCCAAGTGATGAATTTGAAATCATCCCTTCGAAAATTTTACGTACGCCATCACGAGTTTGTTAACCGTTAGGGAAAATCTGTTTTACATATGACGACGGATTTGTTCGAATATCCGTAACCACAATCCTGTCCTTTTTCTTAGAATGTGACCTACCGAATTCGACTTATCACCGGGTTTTATTTACATGAGCACCACAACGTGTGCCACATTTGGAGCATGATTTGTTTACCATTGCAGAACACCTAAAATCATCCAAGTTTTTTGGTTGGGTTCGTGTTGTTTGGTTTGTAGTTTTCTATGTTGTGTTTTGTGTCCTGTTGTTTGTTTTTTCGTCGTTTTTCGTTTTCGGCCATGGTCTTGTTAGATTGTTTTAAACTTTTGAGTTTGAATATCCTTTTGGTATCTATCGCCTCTCTTGTACGACTTTCAACAATAAGCAAACCCCAATCCGTATTGTAAGATATAAAAGGACGCTGCATAACAAAACATGAAACAGGTCAAAAAAAGAAAACCAACGGGCTGATACCTGCTTAAGATACAAATATGGCAGACAGAAACCATTATGTTTGAAAAGCTTGCCTGCTAGGTTGAACCTAAACACGTTATTAAAATGAAACAACGCATTCAAACGGTGCAAGTTATAAGAAAGAAAACGTTTTTTACCTGAAGAATAATTCAGTCGTCATCCTCCTCTATCATCTGGCCAATCATTCGGATGACAGCAAATGGTGATGGGTTGCAGCAAGACGGATCAACACAAAACTGTCGAATCCTTTTGCAGTTACATAACTGCTTGTAGTAACTGCACAACTGGTCATATTTATCATATGGGTTAGACAGAGGTGTCGTAACTGTTAAAAACAAAACCAATCAAATTGACATTATCAAATACTTACAAAATTTCGAGAATTGTGTGCGATTATCGAAATCAAGAATCCATTTGACATTGCTGATCCGTACTACTGCCAAAAAATGAAATATTTGTTCAAGAAATGTGATAAATACGCATTTCAATTAACATATAAAGTCAGGATTCTATCGTAAAAAACGTCCCATTATTAGGGATGATGCGCTGTCAATTTAGTCCTTGAAATCCGAAAAATTCATTCAGATGGCATTATTACGATCCTTACATGACAGTTGTTTTATTCACGCATCGTTTTCAATATAATTTTTATAGAATATAGAATTTGATGCGACTGTCATACAAGTGGGAGGTTTAGCGCTATAAAACCAGGTTCAATCCACCATTTTCTACATAAGAAAATGCTTGTATCAAGTCAGGAATATAACAGTTGTTGTCCATTCGTTTGATGTGTTTGTGCTTTGGTTTTGCCATTTAATTAGGGACTTTCTGTTTTGAATTTTCCTCGGAGTTCAGTATTTTTGTGATTTAACTTTTTTGTATTTGAATAGACAAATTTATTTATTAGCTATAAAGCATCATTCAATGTACTTTTACGGCTTTTTGCAACTTGAGTACAATGGGAGGCAACTCTCGTTTTACTTAATTGATAACGCCTAATATGAGATTTGCCCGCCTTGTTACTTCATCCGGGTTTCAGTTGACATGTGGTTTAAACCAAGAGAGCATGTTCCAGCCACATTTTATTATGTATTTGATTTTTTTTTTTCATTATTATGTCTGTAATTACCCAGATCTGGTACAGGTGCTTCATATTGACACTTTGTTCGTTGTAGCTTATTGATACCATTGATACTCGAATACTCGCTCGGAAGGCCGAGTACTCGAGTAAAATTTTAGTACTTAAAAACTAGTTTGCCTTTTAAAAATCTTGAGACATTTCCCCTGACTTAAGTTCCCTTTGAAATATTCCCTTCGTAATACTAATTGATATTCATTAACAACGTAAATACAGTTCACCGTAAATCTTACGTCTTACATTTAAATTCAGCAACTGATTAGAGACATTTGTAACGGTGTTTGTACACGGATCAACACTTTCATGGATCAATTATAACTCATCACAAGCTGTACACTTAACTTAGATTTGATTGTTAATCAAGAGCTCTTTGTAAGCGTGATTGGCATGAGATGTACATTCGATGTAATAAATGTTTATTTGAAACTTTATTATCATTTAATTGATAATTAAATATCGTTTTGTAGATATAATGTTTAGTCCAATAATTTGTTGAAAATTTATGGTACAAGTCGTTATATCAAAATTACTGACTCCACGGGAACAGATGATACAGATTGTCTTTCAAGTCGGACTTTATTTACATATTGATGGTTTTATTAGCATATTTCTAAGTAGGTACATGAACACACAAAGAATAATTGCTTCATTGAAGAACTGTGTTTAATATCTCGAGTTGGATATCATGTCGAAGGAAAGGCTGGAATACGGAGGTGAACAAGACGGTCAACATGTTGGAAATTAGGGACATTGTTAGTGATGTGACAATAAGTAAAAAAGCAGCCATGAAAAAAGTCGTTGAACAAGTAAACATCCTAAATAACACAGAATGGCAGAGCGATCTCTTAAACGATTGCGGAAAAGATAATGGAAATAGACTTAGAACATACAAGCAATATAAAAGTAACTGTTCCGTGGAAACGTATGTTTCAAAAAAAGTATTGTACGGTCGTACTGACGTGTAATGGCACTGTTTCGTGTAGGCTCGTTCCCGTTAGCCATCGATACTGGAAGAAACACCAGGCCGCCAATACCTGTTGAAGATCGACTGTGTGTTTATTGTTCGGACAATAGTGTTGAAACTGAGAAACATGTTTTATCGAACTGTTCTCTATATAATGAATTAAATTTGGGCATTACTCACAATGTTCACAACATAGTTTCGATACTTTGAGAAGCATGCACTGCTCCGAGATTCAGCTTTTTTTATGTAAAAGTATTTATAAGTTATTCATGCGACGTAAATTGTTTACATAAACTTTTCACCGTGAATAAATTGTTGTAACTAGTTCTGCTTATTTACATTATGTATATTAGTTTAAAGTGATATCTTAACGTAAATATTTTCACCTATGTCTGAAGTTTTATATAGATGTAAAGTAAATATTTATTTTTCGTTTTATTCATGTTGAAAATACTTTTTAATCAAATTATTAGTTTTAAAAATAGAATTTCAAAGTATCGTTTGATTTTTAAGACCATGTATATATTTTGTGCAATGTGTCTCATAAGTCAAATTGATATGGTTTGGTATTGATTGTTCTATGTATGTTTTAATGTTATGTATAATATGCATTTCAATCAATATGTGACACAATGATACACTAGATTATTATTTTATTCTATGATGATAGGTTATTTTTAGAAACGGTGGTCAGTTATTCATTGATCAAATGACACAAAAAAAGAGGATCGAAACACATAACCAAGGATTACGTTATATTTTGTAGTCATACAGTTTGAGTTCTGCAATAATATCAGATTATTACAGCCCAAGGTTCAATATCAGCCCAAGAACCGAAGGCTCGAGGGCTGATATTGACCAAGGGCTGATCATACATCTGATATGAAAAATGACATGTTATGATCTTTTTATCATATGCTTCAACAATGGAGAAAATTAACAGTTTAATATATTGATCCTTTTATGTGGTTCTCAAGTAGAAGTTTAAAAAGGGAAAAATTTATGGAACTCAGACGCCAAATGTAATACATCTGATATGAAATCTTTCTATCAAATGCCTCAACAGAGGAGAAAAACAACAGTTTAATATATTTTTATATTGACGATAATTCAACAAAACAAGTCATAATGAACACTGTTTGGAAAGGTCAACATTTGTAAAGTAACTTTCTCAATTATGCTGTAAACTTTGAAAAATGCATTTATTGTATCATTTGTTTTTTTTTTCTGTGTTTTATATTATATATTTTCCTGTTTCCTAATAATTATTTTGTGCCCTACTTTGTTATGTTTTTCACTGAAAACGTACCATTGAAGTAGCAATACACAGTTAGGAGTGTGGTTTCGCATTATGGCCCCTGTGGATGTTATTGTGCAATAAAATACATTTTTAGACAGCTGAGTACTAATTTAGCCTTCAAAGTTGGTTTATAAGAACATCAAGACTATTTTTTACATGTTTTATGGGCTATTTTCTGTTTGACTGTTTGAACTTTTTGACGCAATTTTCCAAAAAAAATGAGACGAAAGACAAAGACACATGGTTTTTATTTGATCTGTTGATAGATATATGTAAGCAGTTTCAGAAAAGGTATCACTCCAAGGGATTGAAATTATACTTCTGGCCAAATTTTTGGGAATTATGTGACATCTTTACCCCCCTTTTTGCAATATTTTATAGCAAATAAATACAGATTGTTGCCATAGATACACCAAAAAGAAATAATATTTTGTAATTTTAACTACTGGAAGATACTGATTACATACATATACACATATATGACACAAACAGTAAGCCTGATTTGCAAGAAAGCAAGGAAAAGGGGATGGTAAAATTTATGAGAGTACATTTTGATATTTTTTTCCTTACTGTATATTGCTACCTTAGGTGTGATCTCCGGATTTTGCCGAGTAACGCCGGAATGCCATGCGATAACGTTACGGAAAGGCATGTCATAATAGCCGGAGGTATGTGATAATTTTTTCATATCAGCCTGCTAAACACCATTTCGGAAAATATGAAATTCACGTTAATTTAATGCTATTATCATACTGTAAACATTATAAGTTATTTACTCAAAGTATATGATAATATGTCTTTCGTTAAGTTGTCAAGCGAAGTCATCATATTATTTTTTTGGTTTATGAAAGGTAATAACAAATATACCGCATCCCAACAAAAATCAATACTTTTCACCAGACGTGAAAGATTTATCCGAGTACTCGAGTACTCGTGAGTATCATGACTGAGTACTCGAATATTAAATTTCAGATCTGTTGACATCCCTACTAATTACTCTAGATAACACACACTTAAAATGGAATTTTATTGAAGTTATTTATCTTATATATACAAAATATTTACAAGTAAAGTCTGTCGTCATTGAGTTAAAAATGTAAGGATGTTTGAGTGAAAAGTGTGTCCGACTTTTCTTTTTTGGTATATTTCATGAAAATAATATATATATTAAAATACCTAAATTGTAATTAAAAAATGATTGAACGAGTTGTGTAAATCATAAGTCAGAAATACACTTCAAGTTTAAACATTCGAGTAGCACGAAACTTTTTTTTTATTCAAAAACATCTACTTTGTTATTATGACTCATTAGACAGGTATTGCATATGTCCCGTATATTTCATGTTTTTGTACGTTGAATGTTTAATGTTATTATATCAACATGTAGCTTTACTATATGGAAATTAAAATTCAAATAGTGGAAGCGAGACGATATATTTGCTTAGCACGTTTTCAGGACAGGACAATCAATTCAAACACGCCTGATTGTACAATAGTGTACCCGATTATCTCTTGCCGTTAAGATTATTGCTAATTTTAAGATTTTTTCCGGGATCCTAAAAGACTGTTGCAGTTGGCAGGCATGCAAGATGTTGCTTTACAAAGATCAATCTTTTATCTTTCTATGGAATTTTCTTCGGTGGAATTTATGCTTATGCATATCAAAGATCCATATGTATTTGCACATACCACAAATACCGCTTGGCTCCATATTATAATTTGAGTAAAACACGTATATAATATGCAAACAAAATCCTTAATTATGCACATCCTTAAATTCCTTAAGGTCACTGAAATAGATGTAAATAATTCTAATATGCAAATCACATGGGTTGTTTCCCTTGGCGCAAATACAAAATTTCAATCCTGGTATCTATGACGAGTTTATTGATGCAATAGCTACTGCCTTTACTGTTCCGTATACTTAATTGAATTCTGCAAATATAAGTACTAATGTTATTCAATAAAATATGTCAACTAGGTTTTACCAACTGCAACTTGCCCACGGCTTTTGGTAACTTCATGTAGTTTAATGAACCTATAACCACTGTATCCGTTCCAATGATGAATTTTACCTTACATGTTCAATACGAACGAGAACATTTGTAAATTGTATGCAATATTTAAAAACTTACTTTTAACTTGTTTGCGACTTAAAACACGCTGCTGTGCAATATTGCAAGAAATTCCAAGCACAAACAGAATTAAAACTTGTCTTGGTGACATCTTTAATCCAAAAGAAGGCCTTACGAACAATTAGTTGTCTTTTGCTGCTAAAGCAATATGCAGCAAAACTACAACACTTGATTGTCTAGCTTTTAATTTACAGGAACATCCACGTCCTGGGACCTTTTCTTCTATAACAACATAAACGTTGAAATTATGTCACCTGGATGCCTTTTCATGAAAGACAGTAATAGGCTAAAGGCGACATGAAAATGTCAACTGTCAAGTTTTGTAAAAATTGTAGTCTAATTAGGTACACGTAACTATAGCTTATATCTTAGGATTTACATGTAGATCTACTCTATAACAACATATAAGTAATCTATGTATATTACTCCATTTAAACATTACTGATGGTAACTAACACCTGCAACCAATATGGCATTTGGTTTTAACGAAAAAAAGTCATGTGACTGGAAAGCAGTGACTTCTGTTGCTTTAGACAACAGAATCACTAAGTAAATTTTGCTTCACTCTATGGAGTCATTGCCAGATCTGAGAAAGGATAGTTATCTTAATGCCACATGTCTACATTACTCTTATATTGAGGAAAAAACAAACTCAGCAGATTACATGACCAGAATTTTAAAAATTACTCGACTTTATAGAAAGTCTTTCACTGTAGCAGCAGTTCAATAGTCGGTACTGCCGTAATGACTTGATTTATAACATACTTTTTTAAAATTACCCGTTGATAGATTAAGATACTTTATAGCTACTAAGGTGCGAACTGCCACGAACAAAGTTGGAAAGAATTTGGCTTATATTCGAATTCCTTTTGTTCATAAAACTCCTAGCAATGTTTCTACATATTTATGCATCCCTGGCTTGCAATCCTAGGCCTGATTATGGTGAAGCTAGAATAGTGCTTCGGATCCGAAGAAATTTATAGAGTGTATTTTTTTGCAGTGTCTCCTTCCCCTTGTTATCCAACCATGCATCTCTTCTGGACAATGTTTTATTTTTTTCATATGAGTCGGAGTTCCTTCAGACACTTGTAAAAATATGAAGATCAAAGAAGCTAGATTATTTAGTTTCACCTACAGGTATATTGATGATCTACTTTCCATTAACAGTCCAAACTTTTCTGATTGTATCTTATAAGTATATTCATCTGACCTACAGATTAAAGAAATCACAAATACAGCTTCCTCCGCATTATTTCTAGACATTTACCTCGAATTTGACAACAGCAGTCATCTCAGTACCAGATTGTATGACAAATGAGACGATTTCAATTTTGAAATTATAAATTTTCTTCACCTTAGCAGCAATATTCAGGATTCACCAGCGTTTTGATTATACATTTCTCAACGATATTCAAGAGCATGCAGCTGATACTCAGACTTTGTAAAACGGAATCGGTGTCTTAGCAAAAATTTAATGAGCCAGGGTTTTGTCAAAGAACGTCTCGTCCTTTTTCTCAAAAAGTTCATCGGAAAATACCAAACCTAATACATAAATATTTAGTGTCTACTTCACAAATGATACACGATGGTCTTGAGTTATAGAATAAAGGTGCTGAAGTTGTGTATTTTTTTTTTTTACCTTAGTTTCCCAATTATTTGTCTTCAGCACTACTTTGAAAATACAAAATTAACTTATATATCTTAAACTTACAATAGGTCTATTTAAAGTATCATGTTTTATTTCGTATATCTATTACATCCGACGTTGATATTAAAAACAACACATTCAGTTGATGTAAAGTTGTGAATGGCTTCTAAGTCACGGGTACATGTGCTCGAAACAGATTGTGTTTATTGTCAATCGGGGTTTGAAACAGGGTGTCCAATTCTTCCTTATTATTTTTCCTGATTTTTAAAAGTTCAAAAGTTTTCCACTTTAAACCAGCCTCATTTGAACGATCACGTCATGACTTTAAGCGTGGAGATAACCAATTTTATTTGCTAATTGAAAAGCTGAATACAATCATTTAAGACAGCAAGGAAGATTAATTCTGTATAATTGTTTATTGCTCAGACTTAAATAAAGAGGAAGATATTTATACTGTAAATTTATGATGTGTCTGTACTGGTCAGTGGGTCAGATTTATCATACTTAATTAAACGATAAATTGTTGAAATTAGATAACATGTTTTCACTTTTAGAGATAACACGTATGACCAGTGCATGATTGGATTACATCTTTTTATTGGTCAATGATCTTGCGGGGTCTGCACGAGTTCACGTGTATATGTTCTGTGCTTCCTTTTATCATCAGCTTTTGACTTGTTAACTTTATGGATGATTTTGGACTGGAGCGAATTCCTTTTTGCAATTTAAGGTAAAAGCGAACAATCTTTTTGTGTTTTAACTATTTTATGCTTACATCATGGACAAACGTATAGTTGCTTTTTGACCATTCTTTCATTCATAAAGATTACACGATTTTGTTTTATGCAATACACGTATTGGTTGATCAAATTTGTCTCTTTGTTGAAGAGATATTGGGGTAAAATTATTGTTGGTTTTGGTAGTGGCACTGTGAGTTTGCAATCAAAATGTACTTATTTACCATGCTTTTGGAAAATTATAGCTGATGATAAACCCGATGTTGTTTTTTTACAAGTTGGGATGATGATATTAAGCATAAGAGAGCCCACCAGAAGGAGTTAGCACGAGTTATTATTTCATTATTTTGCACAGGTCGTCTTTATGGTAATGTTCATCATTTCCAAGCAGGCACTCCAAAGTTTATACAATGTTGAAATGACGTTGAATGAACAGTTAGTTTTGAAATTTGAGATTGAAAAGGTGATGCTGTCAATGAGATACCATTATTTTTCTGCGTTTTTTCAACGTCGATTTTTTATTGGATGTAGGTTTAAACTTAACATTAAAACAACCTCACAATTCAACATTGAAATAACCCTGTTTCGTCACGTTTATGTTTGAAATAGACAATTCAAAGTTTGTTGTTGGTCCATAGATATAAGAAGATGTGGTATGAGTGCCAATGAGACAACTCTCCATCCAAGTCAATATATAAAAGTAAACCATTATAGGTCACAGTACGGTCTTCAACACGGAGCCTTGACTCACAGTAAGCTATAAAGGGCCCCAAAAATTACTAGTGTAAAACCATTCAAACGGGAAAACCAACGGTCTAATCTATATAAAAAACGAGAAACGAGAAACACTTAAGAACCACATCAACAAACGACAACTACTGAACATCAGATTCCTGACTTAGGACAGGTGCAAACAAATGCAGCGGGTTTAATCGTTTTAATGGTACCAAACCTTCACCCTTTTTCTGAAACAATAGTGTAACATCACAACATAGAAAGACACACTATATAATATCAACTGAAACAGCTTAACTCAATCAAAGGACATATTAACACCATTGAACATACGCTGAACAAATAAATTTGACCTATGATACAATGTAAATACAAAATAAATAAACTAAGGGAAGAATAATAAAAGTAACATATTATATCGGTATGAAATGTTAAACAATTAAAGAAAAACAATATGCTCGAACAAAAATATCAGCCATTTGCAATAACTTTAAACACAGGTAAATGAAAATAATTTTGTTTTTAGGTATACGTGTACAGTTCCAATAGAGAAAGGAAGTATTTTTACAAAATAAATAATTTTGATGTTCATAGTACGAAGTGAAAATTTATAGTAATACCAAACACTTATCAAAGCTGGTATATAGACCAGATATAACCCTGAATAAAATTGAATAACAAAAAAGCAATACAATTAGTATCAACGGGTCAAATAAACAAGAAAGTACGATTTGAGAGTACTCGCAGTTACTGACAGCTAGTTAAAAGCCAAAACAATTAATAATAAAAAATAATGCATCAGAGACTAAAATCAGCTAAAACACATCCCAGGGATTTAGTATTTTAACGTCATGGACAGTCAAAGAAGATATGACTAGTGCAATGCCAAAAATAAATGTATCGACAGAAAGAGACATACAGTTTAAATAATAAGGCTAAGCTACTGTTTATTGTGTTACAAACCAATTTGCCTTACTTGCTTTGGGTAAGGTTGACGATATTTTAATCGGTGCAGAGGGCATGGTTGCTATTACGTTTGGCTTTGTTTATTTGTTTTTGCAAATACGTTTTAATGTTGTGTTGTTTATTGTTTTATGCTATGTCATGAAACTACTGTTACTTTGGTTAATATGTTCACGGTGATTGGTTTGGAACAAATAATATTCTAGGTTAGCCTATTTGCTATAATTGCCAGTTTTTAAATGTTTGCATATGTACCTTGTTTGCTATATGTTAACGGTATAAGAAGAATATGTCTCTTACATCTATCGCAACAAACTCCTTATTTATTACAAACCAATTTGCCTGTCATTGCCTGTTTGTTAAGGTGGATGATATTTTAATCTTTGCAGAGGGTGGTGTTGTTTGTACTTATGTCCACTGTGTATTTGATTTTGTAGAGGTCGTGTTAGCTTAGACTTATGACCTCTGTGTATTTGCTTCTGCAGAGGGCGTGGTTGCCTGTACTTATGCCCTCTGTGTATTTCTTTTTTTGCAGAGCTCGTGGTAGCTTGGACTTATGTCCTCTGTGTATTTGCAAATATGTTATTATTTAGTGGGTATTGTTTTATGCTTTGTCATGAAACTCATGCTACTTTGTTATTTTCGTCATGGTGATTGGTTTGGAAAAAAATATTTTGTAATTCAGCATATTCGCCAGAATTGCCGATATTTCAAGACATGTAGCTATTTGTACATGTTTAGCAGTATTTTAATACATGTTGCTAATGTAATATAGTTAAATTATGTTTACTTGTATAGTCCATGTAGTTTTGGGATGCGATGAACTTAATTGATAATTTTTATACCAATATTTAAGCATTGTAAGGTCGTTTGCTTATGATTTATAATAGTTTAACCATTAAAAATGACAATGAACATGACATAAGTTATCAAAACAACACTAATAGTTTAAAGTTCATAAACTCCATTTAATTCTTATATATGTTTAATATTATACCTTAACATTTGTTATATTTACTGTTATAGAGTGAGATCGAGTTTGTTATATAAAAACAATTTTTGTTTTTTTATTATTTTACATCTAATTTTGTTTATTTCATGGTTTAACTATGAACGAAGAGTCTGAGTCTGCTATTCTTCTACGTAAGAACTATCAACCATTGAAGGAAATATGCAATAAAGCGTGATATCAACAACTTACA